TAGGATGACCGCTATCCCTCTTTCCCTCCACTATAGATTTATTCACCCTCCAGGTCATCCTGTTTTGCTCCATCTTCACTTAATGTCCAAACCACCTCAATAAATTTTTTGTTACTCTCATATCCTTGCTTCCCTATGTTCACTTCTAATTTCCTTCTTTTATATATGCCCTCCCTTTAAAACATTCTTTAATAATTTAAAATTGCTTGACAAAATAGACCAAAAAAAAGAATTTAATATCTGACAGTGGAAAATCTTACCACAACAACGTAACTGATACACATTTACATTGTCCAGTAATTCAGGGCATTTTCGATGTCCCGGTGAAAGTTTTGACCAGCTTGTTTGTGCCTCACCCCATGGATAACAGTCTGTATGCTGTTTGCCGTATGTCATTGTGGATTGATGAAAGGTGGTCATTGAAAAATATGAAAATCCTTCATATGAGCAGGATTCTTGAGGTATTAACAGCAAAACAAACAATATAGTATGTGTGTACTCGCCCAATTGTACTCGCCTAATTGTGGTTGCAAGGGTCAAATCAGAGCTCCTGGCTCCACCTCTTCACTGGTCACTACTAGGTCCACTCTCTCTACTTGCCTCATAGCTTTATTATTTTTATCATACCTACTCTTAAAGCTATGTATATATCCTGCCTCCACTACATCACTGTGTGTGTGTGTGTGTATTTATTTATTTATTTATATTTTTGCATCAAGCTGAATGCTCCCTTAACCAGAACATATATATCTATGCCAGACTTTTGAATTTGTTATCAAGGATACAACCTTGAATGCTGTATATTGTGCCTGATCTAACTTGCTTTCTCCTTATGGGCAATAATCTGCTCTACTGTAATATACTTTCTATTTAATTTTCATTCTGTCTTGAAGTTACTTCTGTTGCATCTCAAGACAAATGAGCAGTTAAGATGTATGTACAGTGGACCCCCGGTTTACGATATTATTTCATTCCAGAGGTATGTTCAGGTGCCAGTACTGACCGAATTTGTTCCCATAAGGAATATTGTGAATTAGATTAGTCCATTTCAGACCCCCAAACATGCACATACAAACGCACTTACATAAATACACTTGCATAATTGGTCGCATTGGGAGCTGATCGTAAACCGGGGGTCCACTGTATCTTCTATACCTCAGTTATATCATATGAAATGTTTGTCAGCTTTTAAAATACAATTACCAATGTCTTAAGGAAGGTGTCTTGATGCTGTTAAGGGGCTCTTGATCCAAGGAAGTGGGCTTGTCCTCTCATTGTATTAACCCTTTCAGGGTCCGTGCCGTAGATCTACGGCTTTACGTTCAGGGTCCAAACCGTAGATCTACGCCATGAGCTTGGCTCACTCTGATAAGCTGTGAGCAGTAAATTTGGGCCTAGATATGAGAGAATACATCTGTGTGGTATGTGTGCACCACATAAAACAAATCCTGCAGCACACAGTGCATAATGAGAGAAAAAACTGAGACCATAATTTTCGATTAAAACAGCTTGTTTGCAGTGTTTTTTTTGTATAGTTGTATTTACAATTTCTTGGTCTCATTTGATAGAATGGAAGATATACTACAGAAATAGAGTTGATTTTGATTGGTTTAAGTACTGTAAATGGGTTGAAACTGAGCTCAAACAGCAGAAATGTTAAATTTTTGCCGATGTTCAAGAGTAAACAAATGACCTCACACGTCTAATACACACCAGCTGGTGGGTCTAATATACATTCACAAACATGGTGATATTATTTATACAATTATTACAGTATTGCATAACAGTAAATCTTCTATTTTTTGGTTTGAATAAAAATTCATTATGTGAATAAAAAATCAAAATGGAATTTATTTGTAAAACCTAGAAACATAACTAATGAACAGAGGAAATGTTAGTTTAGTGCCAGGAATGCCTGCATTGTTTATCCTGGACTCTATTTTGAAATTGGAATATTTTGAACTTTGCATTAAATTGGCCAAATTACCAATTTCCGGTCACTTTATTTTGTTGTTGATACAGTTGACGTGCCGATTTCTTGTGCTAAATCGATAGAATAGAAGTAATTCTAGTGAAATAGTTAAGAATTTGGCTGACTGAGTACTGTAATTGCCCTAAAATGGGAGTCAAAGTCGGCAAAGTTGCCGATGTGTAAATATCGCCGACACATCAAAATTCGCCAGAGCATAATTTCATCAGTTTTCCATCAAATTTCATACTTTTTGTTTTATTGCCTTCAGAAAAAGATTCTCTACCATTTCATAAGAAAAAATAACAAAATTATTTTTTGAAAATTCTTGGACCCTGGTGCACACTTTGAAATTTGACCTCTGGACCCTGAAAGGGTTAAACGTGATTACCTCCGATTCCCCATGTGATTATGTGTGAATGATGGTGAAAGTGTTGAATGATAGTAAAAGTTTTTCTTTTTCGGGTCATGCTGCCTTGGTGGGAGATGGCCGACATGTAAAAAAATAATAGCAGTAGCAGTTAAGTATCATAACTAGAATATTATTTTGTTTCAAAGCATTTTTAAAATAATTGCTCTTTAATTGTAATTTGGGAGGGCATGTAAAAGAAGAAAATTAAAAGTGAACATTGGAAAGAGCAAGGTGATGAGTGTAACAAAAAAAAAAAAAGAGGCAATGAAAGATTGGATATTAGATTGGAAGAAGGGAGTATGGAGGAAGTGAATCTGTTCTGATGTTTGGGAATGGACTTGTCAGCAGATGGGTCTATGAAAGATGAGACGAACCACGGAATTAATGAGGAAAAGGTGGGTGGTGCATTGAGACATCTGTAGAGACAAAGTGTGTTTTCCTTGTAGGCAAAGAAGGGAATGTACAAGAATATAGTGGTGCTAACACACTTATATGGTTGTGAAGCATTGGTTGTGAACGTTGCAGCAAGGAGGAGGCTAGAGGCAATGGAGATGTCATGTCTGAGAGCAGTGTGTGGTGTGATTATGCAGAGAATTCATAGTTTGGATATTAGGAGGAGGTGCAGGATTACCAAAAGTATTATCCAAGGCTGAAGAAGGGTTATTGAGGTGATTTGGACATTTAGAGAGGATGAATTAGAGAGGATGAATTAAGAGGATGAATTAAGAGGATGTATGAACTTGTAGTGGAGAGAAGATGGTGTAGGGGTCACTCTAGGAAAGACTTGAGGAAGGGGGTAAAAGAGGTTTTGTAAGTAAGTGGTTTAAACATCCAGCAGGTATGTGTGTGCATGTTAGTAAGGAGTGAGTGGAGACAAGTGTTTATTATGACTTGCATGCTGTTGGAGTGTGATCAATGTAACATTTATGAAGGGATTCAAGTAAACTGGTTAGCCAGACTTGAGTCTGGAGATGCGAAGTACAGTGCCTACACTCTGAAGTAGGAATGGGGGGTATTGCAGTTTGCAGAGGCATCTGAACTGTAGTATTGACATGCCTCTTGCAAGACAGTGATGGAATGAGTAATTATTCTTTTTTGAGTAACCCTACCCTGGTGGGAGACAGCCAGTTATTAAAAAAAAAAATTCTAAGCTTTTCTCTTACAGTAGATTTATTTTTTATATCAAATGTTAAAAAGAAGTGTTATTGAATATGGGATACACAGACCTGACCGGTGTTAGGTGATAACTGTACCCAAAATAAAGTGTTTGCTTACATGATGTTTACTAACTTTAAAAATATTTAAAATATAATAATAAATGTAACTTTGGTTATTATGTTGAATTTTATTTGCATTATTGATGGGTGTTGCATAACATTTTGTGTCATACTTGATATTCCTGACTTAAATTGACTACTAATTTTTAGTTACTGTTTATTTAATACAATTAACAGTTGAATGTTTTATTGTATTTACTGGTGGTTTGCATGTTTTATTTTAGTAAAATTCAAGTACTAAATAAAAAATGAATTTAGTTGGATTATGCTAAATTAAATTGTGCTTGTTATAATAAGGTTAGGTAAGTTTCCTAAGGTTCTTTTGGTACAAAATCATTAATTTTTATAACATAAATGTATAAAAGTTCTTGAGATATAGACCTGCTTACCTCACCGGAACACACACTTTAATGTGTTGTAATAAAAATATGTTAAATCCTCAATATAACAGACTGAAGAAGTACAGAATGAACCCTTCAGAAATTTTCATTTTTGTTACCATCATGGCAAAGAGTCTCTTGTTTCTCCACCATAATTACCATTACCTTTCACTTGCTCTCGCTCGTCCATTATTGTGGGTTATTTGTGTATTATTCCTAAGTGCAAGTTATCATGTGTATTCCTATGTGCTAGTTATTTGTGTATTATTCCTAAGTGTGGGTTATTTGTGTATTAGTCCGTTATATTGAAGATTTACTAATACGTACTATATTTCACTATGAACGTTGCATGTGCACACAGTTTATAGCTGGACTCCAAACACACTGGACATCTCCTTAGCACACAACTAATATACGCTGAAATTGTGTTAGTAATAAATAATGAAGTTAGCTCATTAGTAAACTAATGTTTTAAAATTTTAGTAATAAACCAGTAGGTCTTAAATTCACTTTTTTAAATTAATAACGTACAGTAAGATGGAAACATTGTGCCAGTTATTAATTCCTTCCAAATAGAAAATACAAACAAAAAGAAAAATTATTTGCCTAAATTAAAGCTCATATGTGATGAGTCATTGTTACTGTTACAATATCATTTTACTGTACTCTGAGAATTAAAACTATTGCAATGCAAAACTAAAAGCTGTATTTTGACTGTAGCTATTTTAATTTAGTCTGATTTATCATCATGCATTGTAAATTGTACATACAATATTTACTTGCTAATTATTATGAGTTAAGCAACTTGTAGTTCAGTAATGTTCTCTGCTGTACAGTCTACTGCTGTGACATACACTTCCTATGAGACTAAATATTTCAAACTTTCCTTACTAACAAAGTCTATAATAATATTGTAAACTTAACAGTTACACGTAGTGATGTGTGTTCCTTTCGCCATACAGGTCGCGATCTCCCATTTCTGCTATCCAAATAATATTTGAATGTGCTGTGGTCTTATTGGGTTCAGCTGACATGTCATGGCGGGCAGTTCGTCATGCAATACAAGATGATAATTTCTGCAGTAAACTGGCTGCTGTCTGTGTTCCTGGACTCAAACAAAATGTTATTGCTACATTATCAGAAAAGCTGGAGGTTTGTAAGTTTGATGTAATAGAATTAAGTTATGCTACAGAGGTGATAAATGATATGCTAGTAAATTCCTATAAAGGATATTCTTTAACCCTTAAACAGTCCAAATGTGGATCTACATTTTTTCAAAATTTGAAAGTATGTAAAAAAATGTAGATCTTTTTTTTTTAATTTGAAAACGTGTAAAAAAAAAACTTTGATCTACTTTTTTTTTTTGTTATATTTGAAAGTACAGTGGACCCCCGGTTAACGATATTTTTTCACTCCAGAAGTATGTTCAGGTGCCAGTACTGACCGAATTTGTTCCCATAAGAAATATTGTGAAGTAGATTAGTCCATTTCAGACCCCCAAACATACACGTACAAACGCACTTACATAAATACACTTACATAATTGGTCACATTCGGAGGTAATCGTTATGTGGGGGTCCACTGTATGTAAAAAAAACGTAGATCTACTTTTGGAGTACTACACGTGTGAACGTAAATCTGTTTGGACAGTTTAAGGGTTAATGAGTATTGGAAAATAGTATAACAAAAAAATGAGAATCTCAGTCTATATAACTATGCAATTGTATTAACATGAACATGAATTCTGTAGACTGCATTTCAACTAAGACAAACTAAAAAAAAAATTATTACGTAGCAAATCAAGATGACAAGTGAGCACATGTCTCGTGTGAGTGACATAGGTGGAGTGTTGTTGCAGTACCTACGCACTGTTATTTTCTTCTGGCACCGCTATCATGAAGATGTACAACCACGCCAGGCACGAGTCCAGGCACTCACCGACCAGAAGAAAGAGGTGCTAAACACATTTTGATCTGAATTGATTTCCAGCTTAATTTTGATATAATTTGATGATATTTGCTTTACACACATTAGCAGCATTCTCAGCCTAACTTTCAATCTGTAACTACTAGTAATTTGTGAACAATCTATTCATGTAATCCACATTGCATGAATTTATAGTCTTCACTGTACATAATTGGTTTGGTTATATAATACAGTGGAACCTCGGTTTTCGTTTGCACTGGTTTTCGTTGAATTCGGTTTTCGACGACTTTTTTCATCAAAATTTTGTCCGTTTTTGTTATCACCTCGGTTTTTGTCGAGTTGCCAGTGGTCCACTGTATCGAACGTGTCCACCCACACCCACACAAAGCATCCCACGCTTTCTGAGTCAGTCTGGCCTTGTTTCTCATCGGTAGAGGGTGGTAGTGATGGTGGTAAAGATACTCTCTCCTCCCTCTCCCCTCCTCGCCATCTTCCATATACCAACAAGAATCTTCAGTAAAGGTAAAAGTGATGTTAAATGTTCATTTATCCATTTCTTTAGTCCTTTATATTTATTTCTCATTGTTTTCTGTATGTAAAACTATATTTATTCTCTATAAAATGTATTTTTTGTTAATACTTTTGGGTAACTGGAATGGATTAATTGGATTTACATTATTTCAAATGGGAAATATTGCTTCAGTTTTCATCTAATTCGGTTTTTGTCAGACTTTCTGGAACGAATTAATGACGAAAACTGAGGCTCCACTGTATATTGCATTTGCTAATATGTCTTGGTAAGTTCATAATAATTGAAAATAAATTGTAGAATGCTACTATTAAAACAAATATTTTGCATTTATTAGCTGCAAGTTGAAATGGCAACCAAGGAGCGGTTAGTGAGAGTGCACAAAGAAGAGGTTGCAGATTTGAAGTCTCGCCTGAAAAAAGAAGAAGAACGACTGACATCACTGAAGAAACAGAATATTTCTGTAGCAGAGGAGCTGGAAAGAATCCTGGCCATTATCAGTGAACTGAATCCACACTCGGAAAGGTGAGTCAGTGGTCACATGTACTAGCACTGAGAAAAGTAGATTAATAGGCACTTTACCCACACTTAGAAAGGTTGGTTATTGGTCACTTGTGTTCACACTATCAATGTAGTGGATAAAGAGATGTAGCCTAGCTGTGCTATATCTTAACAATGGCTTTGCTAACCATGTGTAATTTTGTTTTAACGTACCGGCCATCTCCCACTGAAGCAGGGTGACCTAACTAGAAAATCTAATTTTTTTTTTTTCAACACGTCAGCTGTCTCCCACCGAGGCAGGGTGACCCAAAACAGAAAGAAACACTTTAACCATCATTCAACACTTAACCATCATTCACACATAATCACTGTCTTTGCAGTGATTATGTGTGAATGATGGTTAGGTATGACAGTTCATGTCACTCCAAACAGAAAATATCACAAAACTCTCCTTTAAAGTACAGGCATTGTACCTCCCACCTCCAGGACTCAGATCCGGTTAACTGGTTTCCCTGAATCCCTTCACAAAATATTACCCTGCTCACACTCCAACAGCTTGTCAGATCCCAAAAGCCATTCGTTCCCATTCACTCCTATCTAACACACTCACACATACCTGCTGCATGTCCAAGCCCCTTGCACACAAAACATCTTTTACCCCCTCTCTCCATCCTATCCTAGAATGACCCTTACCCCTCCTCCACTCCACTACAGATTTATTATTATTATTACTTTTTTTTAACACTGGCCATCTCCTATCAAGGCAGGGTGACCCCAAAAAAAACACTTTCACCATCATTCATACCCTCACTGTCTTGCCAGAGGCAAGTTGCTACCGATGGAAGTACAATAAACAAATGCTATACCCACATTGAAGAACACTAGCTTATTCACAGCCAGATGCTGCTGCTTACATCACAATATCTAAGATTTATAAGAGGCTAACACTTTTTTCATTCATTAATTATTTTCATGATTGACTCTATTCTGCATCACCCCATTATTTGTAGCATTCATAATGTTGTTTTTTGGAGGTGGAGAAAGGAAATAGAGGATCAACAAATGGTTCTGCAGCAACTGATGGGTGAGTGTTTGTTGGCAGCTGCCAGTCTGACCTACCTAACACACCTTCTACCTGACCTGCGTGACACCCTCACTCAGACATGGCAAAATGACCTTGTCAGTCGTGGATTCTTGCATCCTTCACAAGATCCTAATCAACATGAACGATTCAGGTAAGATTTTTTTTTTTTTTTTTTTTTTAACAAGTCGGCTGTCTCCCACCGAGGCAGGGTGACCCAAAAAAGAAAGAAAATCCCCAAAAAGAAAATACTTTCATCATTCAACACTTTCACCACACTCACACATTATCACTGTTTTTGCAGAGGTGCTCAGAGTACAACAGTTTAGAAGCATATACATATAAAGATACATAACATATCTCTCCAAACTGCCAATATCCCAAACCCCTCCTTTAAAGTGCAGGCATTGTACTTCCCATTTCCAGGACTCATGTCCAACTATATGAAAATAACCGGTTTCCCTGAATCCCTTCACTAAATATTACCCTGCTCACACTCCAACAGATCGTCAGGTCCCAAGTACCATTCGTCTCCATTCACTCCTATCTAACACGCTCATGCACGCTTGCTGGAAGTTCAAGCCCCTCGCCCACAAAACCTCCTTTACCCCCTCTCTCCAACCCTTTCGAGGACGACCCCTACCCCACCTTCCTTCCCCTATAGATTTATATGCTTTCCATGTCATTCTACTTTGATCCATTCTCTCTAAATGACCAAACCACCTCAACAACCCCTCTTCTGCCCTCTGACTAATACTTTTATTAACTCCACACCTTTTCCTTTGCCCTTAAACAGGACATCTCCACTGCCTCCAACCGTCTCGTCGCTGCTGCATTTATCACCCAAGCTTCACACCCATATAAGAGTGTTGGTACTACTATACTTTCATACATTCCCTTCTTTGCCTCCATAGATAAAGTTTTTTGACTCCACATATACCTCAATGCACCACTCACCTTTTTTCCCTCATCAATTCTATGATTAACCTCATCCTTCATAAATCCATCCGCTGACACGTCAACTCCCAAGTATCTGAAAACATTCACTTCTTCCATACTCCTCCTCCCCAATTTTGATATCCAATTTTTCTTTATCTAAATCATTTGATACCCTCATCACCCTACTCTTTTCTATGTTCACTTTCAACTTTCTACCTTTACACACATTCCCAAACTCATCCACTAACCTTTGCAATTTTTCTTTAGATCTCCCATAAGCACAGTATCATCAGCAAAAAGTAACTGTGTCAATTCCCATTTTGAATTTGATTCCCCAAAATTTATCCACCCCTCTCCTGAACACCCTAGCATTTACTTCCTTTACAACCCCATCTATAAAATTACAGTGGACCCCCGGTTAACGATATTTTTTCACTCCTCAGAAGTATGTTCAGGTGCCAGTACTGACCGAATTTATTCCATAAGGATATTGTGAAGTAGATTAGTCCATTTCAGACCCCCAAACATAATGTACAAACGCACTTTACATAAATACACTTACATAATTGGTCGCATTCGGAGGTGATCGTTATGCGGGGGGGTCCACTGTATTTATTAACAACCATGGTGACATTACACATCCCTGTCTAAGACCTACTTTTACCGGGAAGTAGTCTCCCTCTCATCTACACACCCTAACCTGAGCCTCACTATCCTCATAAAAACTCTTTACAGCATTTAATAACTTACCACCTATTCCATATACTTGCAACATCTGCCACATTGCTCCTCTATCCACTCATCATTTGCCTTTTCTAAATCATAAATGCAATAAAAACTTCCCTACCTTTATCTAATACTGTTCACATATATGCTTCAGTGTAAACACTTGTATCTACACATCCCCTACCCACTCTAAAACCTTGCTCATCCGCAATCCTAACATTCTGTCTTACCTCTAATTCTTTCAATTAAACCCTAGCGTACACTTTTCCTGGTATACTCAGTAAACTTATTCCTCTATAATTTTTACAATCTCTTTTGTCCCCTTTCCCTTTATATAAAGGGACTATACATGCTCTCCACCAATCCCTAGGTACCTTCCCCTTTCATACATTTATTAAACAAAAGTACCAACCACTCCAAACATATATCCCCCCCTGCTTTTAACTTTCTGTCATGATCCATCAGTTCCAGCTGCTTTACCCCTTTCATTCTACGTAATGCCTCACGCACCTCCCCACACTTACATTCTGCTCTTCTTCACTCCTAAAGATGGTATTTTTCCTCCCTGGCCAGTGCATGAAATACCGCCTCTCTTCTTCCTTAACTAGTAAAAGTTCCTCAAATATTCTTGCCATCTACCTAATACCTTATCTCCCCATCTTACTAACTCCCCTACTCTGTTTTTAACTGACAAATCCATACTTTCCTAGGCTTTCTTAACTTGTTTAACTCCAAAATTTTTTCTTATTTTTCATTAAAATTTCTTGACAGTGCCTCTCCCACCTATCATCTGCTCCCCTTTTGCACTCTTCACCACTCTCTTCACCTTTCTTTTACTCTCCATATACTCTGCTCTTCTTATAACACTTCTGCTTTGTAAAAACCTCTCATAAGCTACCTTTTTCTCTTTTATCACACCCTTTACTTCATCATTCCACCAATCACTCCTCTTTCCTCCTGCACCCACCCTCCTATAACCACAAACTTCTGCCCCACATTCTAATACTGCATTTTCATATTTATGCAGACATAATGTAAGAAAGTTACTTTACAAATATATTGATGTATGGAAGAAATCACAACAAAATGTGTGACTGCCAGTATATAAAAATACCACAGTGAAAATAGGAAATAAAACCTGAGTGCTTTCATGTGCTTACACACACATCTTCAGAGGAAGATGTGTGTGTAAACATCTTGATGATATATTTTTACATATTGATGATATATTTTTACATACTGATGATATATTTTTACATATTGATGATATATCTTTATTTTCCTTTCAGATTGGTATCACAGGTTATAGATTTACAAGTGGATGTTAAACAAGCAGTTGATTACCATATCAACCACAACACACTCCTGCTGATACATGATCCCCACTACCTTGTGAGAACATTTTTAAAGTTATTTTTCCATTTGTTTCCTCCATTATTTCTGTGTATATCAAGAGTAGATTAGGGAAGCTCCTTTAAATCTGGTATGTGGAGTCTGAGAGCTAATTTACTATATAATTTATTGCTATATAATTTGTTACATTGATGGCCTTCATAGTGGCAGTTTTCTTAACTACTTTACTGTGTTCAGAGAATTTCTAATTTCCTCACTTTGTACAGGTTGAAGAATATAAGAGTGGAGGCATTTGGCTAAGACTGGATAAAAGCACATGGCAACAAGAGTTAAAAGAGCGACTAAGAGCAGCCCAAGAGTGTGTGATATACTTACGGACACAACATTCTCCAGCTCAAGAGCTTGTCAAGTGTGTTACTAACCTCTTAAAAGGTAATGAACACAAAAATTTAATAGGTGTTGCAGTAATTATTTCTTCCAAACTGGCTAAATCCTTTGATATACACATGACATTTATATCAGCAATAATTTTTTCAGCTTAGCATTATTTTGTGGGAGAAGGCCAGTATGTTAAAAAATCAAATTAACATATTAAGTTAATGTTGGTGAATGTGTTTTCTTCTTTGGGTCATGCTACCCTGGCAGGAAATGGCTGGTGTGTTAAAAAATATATGGATGAACCAGTATTGTGTTAAAAAATATATGGATGAACCAGTATTGTGTTAAAAAATATATGGATGAACCAGTATTGTGTTAAAAAATATATGGATGAACCAGTATTGTGTTGCCAGCACACTTCTGGAAAGATAGCAATTGAGTGACTGTGTTCTCTTTTTTGGGTTAAGCTGTCTTGGTTGGAGATGGACATTGTGTTAAATAAAAATACAGATGGGTTGTAAAAGAAGCAAAGGCTACAGTGTTGAGGTGTGGGATTAAAAGATAATGAATTTGATACAGAGTGTGAGTTGTCACAGTTGCTCCATTGTTGACAGGAATATAATTGAATCATTGTTTTTCACAAAAGCATTTTAGAATATAAATATATCTTTGTATTATACAAATTTTGATTCATTTATAATTAATATTCTACTGTACAACTATGAAATAATTACTTTCCTACTGTACAGCTATGATATATTACTCCTTAGTATTAAGTAGAATGTAAGCCAATTATGTTAAGTTGGCCCATAATGCCTAGGCATAATAGAGGCTCTCTTTGCATTGCAACCCATTATTGTATATATGCAATCTCAATGTACTGTTTGCAAAGACATTAAATAAATAAATAAATAAATAAATAAATAAATAAATAAATAAATAAAATAAAATGTTTTTTAGAGGAAACTCTGAAGAGGAGTTGCTAAGGTTGGTGGAGGAATTTAGGAGGGATTTGGAGACCAGATTTATTTCTCTGCCTTCATAGCTTTGCTTTCTGCACATCTATCATCAGGGATTGCATTTGTGTCTGGGAATAGAATTTTCTGGGTATTGGTTCTAGGACTGTGAGACCACCTTAATTATTGAGTTTCTCATTGAGTTCAACACTTCTGTAATTCTGTTACATCCTTTGAGGTTTGAATAATAATGCTGCTTTAAAGTGAAGTGATTTAAGGGTAGATTTTAGAACTGGATAAATATGATTGAATGGCATTAATAGTAAAGTAGTTGACACATGTCAATTACTTTGGTGTCAGTTGTATACTGTACTCTACTGTATAGAACTAGTTATTTGTTTTTGTTTGTTTAAATGAAGCAGGAGTTTATAAGATTCTGTGTATTTATATATATATATATATATATATATTTTTTTTTTTTTTAGATTTTACAGAATTAGAGTACAATCAGTGGAGTAGTGTTAATTATAATTGAGGATGACTGCATTTCAGCCCCTGCCCATCTGTTCCCAACATACATTCATCAACATGATGCTTGACCATAAGGTAATATACTAACACCTCTTTTCCTAATGTGCAACATTTTAACAAAGTGTACATATACACTTAGTTAAATACTTATGAAACTGCTGATATGTTACATAAAGCCTGTTGTCTACATTAATAGGATTTTTTTATAAGCAAATACGACAAGGAGGTTTAATAAAAATTTAATAAAATGATATTAAGGGCATTTTCCAGCAATTATAACTTAAAATATTAATTCACTAATCTCATGAATTCCTATGTTTTACTTTACCGTGTAAAAAAAAAAACAAAAAAATGGGCAGTGACTGAACCCATGGCAAGCGAGTCCTAAACTCCAGGCCAGTGCATAGCCAGCTGTGGAAACTTAATTTGAGAGATTGACAAAACAGTGGTGGAACACAACTGAGCACTGTTTTGGCAACAGAAGCACAGCTCCCAACACCCAATCGTGTGCAGTCATCTTTTGTGTGAGCAGGGTAATATTTTGTGAAGGGATTCAGGGAAACCAGTTAGCTGACTTGAGTCTTGGAAATGGGAAGTACAATGCCTGCGCTTTAAACCCTTTGAGGGTCGCCAGGCCCTCTCAGAGACTTGTTCTCAGGTCGCCCAAATTTGAAAAAAAAAATTATTTTTTCTTATGAAAAGATAGAGAATCTTTTCCTGATCATAATGACACCAAAAGTATGAATTTGATGAAAAACTTACGGAATTATGCTCTCGCGAAGTTAGCAGTCTCAATGATGTTTATGCATCGGCGATTTTGCCCACTTTGAACAATATTTTCGGCCAATTCCAGTGTACTAGTCGACAAAAATCATAACTATTTCGCTAGAAACTCCATTTTTTTCTATCGAATGTGTACAAGAAACCATCCATTTACCGATTTTAACTATCCAATAAAGTGGTCAGAATTTAGCAATTTTGCCAATTTCACACAAATTTCAAAAGATGCCAATTTCCAAATAGGGTCCAGAATAAACAAGAAAGACATTCCTGACACTAAAATAATATTTCCTCTGTTCATTAGTCACATCCCCACGCCCCTCTTACATTTCTTTTGCTTTCCACTTTGAATTTTTATTCTCACAAAAAATAGAAGATTTACTGTTATGCAGACTACTGTATTAATGTAGAAATAGTATAAACAATACCAGTGCACTTGTGAAAGAATATTAGATTCACCAGTTGACGTGTATTGGACGTGTGGCATGATTTGTTTACTTTTGAACTTTGGCAAAAATCGAACATTTCTGCTACTTTGAGCTCAATTTCAAGGTACTTTTCATTGTGAAACCAATCAAAATCATCTCAATTTCTGTAATATGTCTTCCATTCTATAAAATAAGACCAGAAAAACTAGAATACAACCATAAATACCATACGAAAATACAGTGCAAAGTCGCTGTTTTAAACCAAAAACACGGTCAAAGTTCTTTTTTTTTCTCATTACGCACTGTGTGCTGCAGGATTTTTTTATACTGCACACACTGACCACATAGACCCATTCTTTCATATGTAGGCCAACCAGCTTTCTCTTGCTAGATTTGAGGGCGCTAGAATTTATGCGTACTAGTACGTCAAAAACCCTGGCGCGTAAGCCGTACTATTTTTATTTTATTATATTAGCACACTGGCCGATTCCCACCAAGGCAGGGTGGCCCAAAAAGAAAAACTTTCACCATCATTCACTCCATCACTGTCTTGCCAGAAGGGTGCTTTACACTACAGTTTTTAAACTGCAACATTAACACCCTTCCTTCAGAGTGCAGGCACTGTACTTCCCATCCCCAGGACTAAAGTCCAGCCTGCCAGTTTCCCTGATTCCCTTCATAAATGTTACTTTGCTCACACTCCAACGCACGTCAAGTATTAAAAACCATTTGTCTCCATGCACTCCTATCAAACACCTCCCCAACATGCCCGCTGGAAGTCCAACCCCCTCGCAAAAAAAAACCCTTTTACCCCCCTCCCTCCAACCTTTCCAGGCCGACCCTACCCCGCCTTCCTTCCACTACAGACTGATACACTCTTGAAGTCATTCTGTTTCGCTCCATTCTCTCTAAAATGTCCAAAACCGCCTCAACAACCCTTCCTCAGCCCTCTGGACAACAGTTTTGGTAATCCCGCACCTCCTCCGAACTTCCAAACACGAATTTCTGCATTATATTCACACCACACATTGCCCTCGGACATGACATCTCCACTGCCTCCAGCCTTCTCCTCGCTGCAACATTTATCACCCATGTTCACACCCATATAAGAGTATTGGGAAAATTATACTCTCATACATTCCCCTCTTTGCCTCCAAGGGCAAAGTTCTTTGTCTCCACAGACTCCTAGTGCACTGCTCACCCTTTTCCCCTCATCAATTCCATGATTCACCTCATCTTTCATAGACCCATCCGCTGACACATCCACTCCAAAATCTGAATACATTCACCTCCTCCATACTCTCTCCTTCCAATCTGATATCCAATCTTCATCACCTAAGCTTTTTGTTATCCTCATAACCTTACTCTTTCCTGTATTCACTTTTAATGTTCTTCTTTTGGATACCCTACCAAATTCATCCACCAACCTCTGCAACTTCTCTTCAGAATTTCCCAAGAGCACAGTGTCATCAGCAAAGAGCAACTGTGACAACTCCCACTTTTTGTGTAATTTTTTATCTTTTAACTCCACGCCTCTTGCCAAGACCCTCGCATTTACTTCTCTTACCACCCCATCTATAAATATATTAAACAACCACGGTGACATCACACATCCTTGTCTAAGGCCTACTTTTACTGGGAAATAATCTCCCTCTTTCCTACATACTCTAACTTGAGCCTCACTATCCTCGTAAAAACTCTTCACTGCTTTCAGTAACCTACCTCGTACACCATACACCTGCAACATCTGCCACATTGCCCCCCTATCCACCCTGTCATACGCCTTTTCCAAATCCATAAATGCCACAAAAACCTCTTTAGCCTTATCTAAATACTGTTCACTTATATGTTTCACTCTAAACACCTGGTCCACACACCCCCTACCTTTCCTAAAGCCTCCTTGTTCATCTGCTATCCTATTCTCCATCTTACTCTTAATTCTTTCACTGATAGCTCTACCATACACTTTACCAGGTATACTCAACAGACTTATCCCCCTATAATTTTTGCACTCTCTTTTGTCCCCTTTGCCTTTATACAAAGGAACTATGCATGCTCTCTGCCATTCCCTAGGTACCTTACCCTCTTCCATACATTTATTAAATAATAGCACCAACCACTCCAAAACTATATCCCCACCTGCTTTTAACATTTCTATCTTTATCCCATCAAAGCCGTACTAGTACGTCGGAAACCTCGAAAGGGTTAAAGGAGGGGGTTGGGATATTGGCAGTTTGGAGGGACTTCTAAACTGTCATATCTGAGCACCTCTGCAAAGACAGTGATTATGTATGAGTGATGGTGAATGCTTTTGAATGATGATGAAAGTATTTTTCTTTCTTTTTGGGTTTTTCTTTCTTTCTTAGGTCACCCTGCCTTGGTGGGAAATGGCTGATGTGTTAAATAATAAAAAAAAAAAAGAATTTAGTAGTCATTGCAACTATTTATATATACAAACATTTGTACATTAAGCTCTCTAACATGCAGAGAATACATTCCTGAAAATTGATCCCTATGGGAATTAGCAGTATGTAAAGTGAAGAATGTTTAGGAAAAATAGGGTGTCTTGGTGATCCACCCCTTGGTGGACTCTTAGTTATTTAAACCTGGATATCTACTCTTCTGTCATCTCTGAGCAGATGTCTGTTTACCACATTAAAATTAAAGAAATATGTAATGAGGATTCTAATGAAGATACATTTACTGTATGCAACAGTAATTATGTGCAATCATATATTTTTGCTTGCTCAACCTCAAAATAAGTTTGCTTTACCTTTTGGAAGCACACTTCTCCCAAGCATACCTGCACTTGCTCTCTTACAACCTCATATGTAAATAAAATAAAAACCAGTAAAATCTTGTGTGGGCAGGATGTGCTAAAGATGTAAAATGCAAAGATCAGAGACCATTGAGAATTAGGAGTCTGCAAGAGATAGAATCGATAAGGGTTGTGGGGAGTACTAAATGTAATAGAGCAGTTGCTGACAGAAGTCAAAGAGGAAGTCTCCACTTTTACTAGAATTCTTTCCTTTTTTCCCCCCCTCATATCTTTAGCTAACTTCCATCAAAACATGATGTTACAAAAACTTACGACCTTTACAGAGAAATTCACTGTAAATGAATACGAACAATCCTTAAGAAGTGAGTAGTTCTGTATTTGAACCAGCAACTTGACAGTCTTGAGACTAACAGCCAGTTATACAAATCACCATGCTACATATTTCACACAATTTTAAAAATTAAAAAATGTTGAGATGCAGTGTCTTGACCCATTAGGTGCCTCCATTACCTTTTGACAACCATCCATATGATGGGTATGGGGTGTGATAAATGGTTTAACTTTCCATATTTCTCACTGAACCATCGTTGTCTTTTTTACAGGTATTTATGTTACTTTGAAAGTTTTCAAATCGCCTTTTCTTCTTGATTTCGAAACTCTCAAATTTAATCATTTATAGGATAATCAAATGGCATAAAGCATGTTGTTTTGTAAGCCTATTGCAAAGATATTTACTCCTGCTTATGTGTTTGTTACCTTGATGGATTCAATCTTATGCCTGTAGTGCATATTTTAACTATCAGATAATGCTAAGTGGATTGTCCAATTATTGCAGGGCATTGTTCATCAGTTAATTGAAACATTGATAAAGTGGCATGATCCCAGATTTGAAGAGGAAGTGCATCAAGTTGTGCAGGCAGTGTTGGAGGCCTACACAGAAAAGAAAGGGAAAGAAGCAATTTTAATACAGGCCTTTGGCCATGCCAGTAATCTAACTTCAATGATGAATAGTTTGCATCATGCACCATATAAAAAACAAAATGATGTAGTATATTTGTATTTTTTTGTGTATATATTGTTTCTTAACCCCGACCATCCTCACCAAGGTGGGGTGACCTGCAAAGAAAAAAAAAACACTTTCACGTCACTCATTCACTTACTGTCCTGCCAGATGGGTCCCCAATCACAGTTTGGGTCCCCTCCAACGCAGAAACCCTTACCCCCTTCAGATGCAGAAAATTTTGCAAAGGGGCAAAAGAAATGATCTGGGTCCCATAGCAGACTCGAACCTGTTGCTTTACACTCTGCTGTATGGATAAAGTACTGGTACTTTGATAAGAGTGGCGGGGTTTTCAATCCTCGGGGACGAGAGAAGATGTATATTTTAAATTGAAATTCAGAGAATCTTTTAATTGTGATGTCTGCACACTTCTGGCCCCACGCTATTGAATGAGTGTGGTGAAAGTGTTTTTTTTTAATCCCCTTTTCCCTTTGGGTGGAAAGTAGTGATGTGTTAAAAAAAACTATTTAATGTGATTTTTAAAAAACTTTTTACTGTTTCTTTGTTTTTCCATTTTTTGCATCAGCATTATAAAAAAATTAACGTTTTAATTTTTTTTTCCAAAGGGCTAAATTTTTGGAATAACACGAAAGAAAAAATGAATTCTTTAACCTCTATGGGTCGATCGGTCCCCTGATGACCCTTTTAAAAGCCCCCCTTCATGACATAATTTTACTTATCTGCCCTCAACTCAGTTATGCACTCCCTCTACCCTTAAAAAGAGAGCCCTTTCTTTTTAAATTAGCAAAATCACTCCAGAGCCCTTTATATAAACCAAAAGACTAACCAAGGTAAAGTAATGATTCAGGAGAAAACAGGGGGGGGATTTGTTTTTTGTTATTAGAGTTGTATTTTAAAATGAATTGGGGAAAAAATTTTTTTTTACGTTTTCCTTAAAAAAAAAAAAAATTTTTCCCCTGAAGTACTTAACAAAATTGGATAAAAATAAGCAAATTACTCACCCCCTTTTTTGTTTTTTAGATGATCTGCTAAAAAAAAATGAAGAATTATGACTATAGTTTCAAAAACATTTTTTTAGTATGGGCATGCGACTTTTAGTTGCAACATAGACTGATTGTAACTACCCGCTTTGCTTTAGCCAAATTAAACATGAAAAAAGACAGCGACAACTACTTCAAACTTTTTTTGTCCCTATGCAAGTAATTAAATGGTATGGGGAAAATTTAAATAAGGATCAGTTTGCCAAAAAGAAGAATGTGGGGGCTCCAAGGATGACCTTCCAAAAGAAAAGAAGAAAAGGTAACAAAAACGAGAAAGAAAACTTCCTCCCAAAATGGATTCTAAACAGTGTGAAAAAGGGTAAAGTTTAAAACTGTTATGTTTAAAGAATATAACAAAGAATAATCACTGGGGGTTTCCTTTCATCTGTAGAAGATTACTGAAAATTTTTCATTTTTTTTTGTTTAATGAAGTGTCATATTGGCCTCCACTGTTGTTTGAAAAATGTTCTGAGTTTAAAAAGTTTAAACTTTTTAAAAGGTTTTTTTTCATTTTGACGATGCGCTGTGGTGAAAAAATTTCCACATTATCCATATATATTTTAAAAGGGAATTTTGACCTACCTAAACATTGTGTTTTTATTTTTTTTTTTTTAAAAAAAAAACTTTTTCCATAATTTTTATCTTTTGGTGTCTGTACTAAGCTTTTAATGTATAAAATAATCCCGTCACAATCATTCCATAATTAAGTGTGCTCACGGTGATTGTTTGATAAAAGAGTGTTTTTTTGGGAAAAACCCTTTAAAACTAGGAAGTCAGCGTATCACAGCGCACTGTGGTTTTCTCGGGGCACTTCCCTTGGCCTGCCATCTTTCCCACCACTGATGCTTTAAAAAAGTAAATCTACTGAGTAAAACATTACACCAATACAAAAATAATTGTAATATTTGTTAAAATGATTTTTAAATGTTCAGGTAAATTTTAAATATATTTTGTGATTACGTATATGCTTATTGTGCTAGCTGTCTTATAGATAGAGGATGTCCATGTGCCATTAGGTATGTTAAGCAACCATTTATACAACTGGAACACTGCGATAGTTTTTTGAGTAGTTATCTTCTTTTCTTTCAACACACCGGCCATATCCCACCGAGGTGGGGTGGCCCAAAAGGAAAAACGAAAGTTTCTCCTTTTACATTTAGTAATATATACAGGAGAAGGGGTTACTAGCCCCTTGCTCCCGGCATTTTAGCCACCTCTTACAACACGCATGGCTTACGGAGGAAGAATTCTGTTCCACTTCCCCATGGAGGTAAGAAGAAATAAACAAGAACAAGAACTAGAAAGAAAATAGAAGAAAACTCAAAGGGGTGTGTATATATATGCTTGTACATGTATGTGTAGTGTGACCTAAGTGTAAGTAGAAGTAGCAAGACGTACCTGAAATCTTGCATGTTTATTAGACAGAAAAAAGGACACCAGCTATCCTACCATCATGTAAAACGATTACAGGCTTTCGTTTTACACTGACTTGGCAGGACGGTAGTACCTCCCTGGGCAGTTGCTGTCTACCAACCTACTACCTAGGTTTGAGTAGTTATATAAAACAGAAATTATAAGATTGAAAATTTTTTTTCAACACCAAGTTTGGAAAGGCTGTAAATATAATAATATATCAGTTGAGTTTTGGGACTATATCTTTTTCTTTCAACACACCGGCCGTATCCCACCAAGGCGGGGTGGCCCAAAAGGAAAAACGAAAGTTTCTCCTTTTACATTTAGTAATATATACAGGAGAAGGGGTTACTAGCCCCTTGCTCCCGGCATTTTAGTCACCTCTTATGACACGTATGGCTTACGGAGGAAGAATTCTGTTCCACTTCCCCATGGAGATAAGAGGAAATAAACAAGAACAAGAACTAGAAAGAAAATAGAAGAAAGCCCAGAGGGGTGTGTATACATATGCTTGTACATGTATGTGTAGTGTGACCTAAGTGTAAGTAGAAGTAGCAAGACGTACCTGTAATCTTGCATATTTGTGAGACAGACAAAAGACACCAGCAATCCTACCATCATGTTAAACAATTACAGCCTTTTGTTTCACACTCACTTGGCAGGATGGTAGTACCCCCCTGGGAGGTTGCTGTCTACCAACCTACTACCTAGGATATATACATATATATATATTTTTTTTCAACAAACTGGCCGTATCCCACCACGGCAGGGTGGCCCAAAAAGAAAAACGAAAGTTTTTCTTTTTAAATTTAGTAATTTATATGGGAGAAGGGGTTACTAGCCCCTTGCTTCCGGCATTTTAGTCGCCTCTTACAACACTGCATGGCTTACGGAGGAAGAATTCTGTTCCACTTCCCCATGAAGATAAGAGGAAATAAACAACAACAAGAACTAGAAAGAAAATAGAAGAAAACCCAGAGGGATGTGTATATATACATATATATGCTTGTATATGCATGTATAGTGTGACATAAGTGTAAGTAGAAGTAGCAAGATGTACCTGTAATCTTGCATATTTGTGAGACAGACAAAAGACACCAGCAATCCTACCATCATGTTAAACAATTACAGCCTTTCGTTTCACACTCACTTGGCAGGATGGTAGTACCCCCCTGGGAGGTTGCTGTCTACCAACCTACTACCTAGGATATATGTATGTATGTGTGTATGTATATATATATATATATATTTTTTTTTTCGACAAGTCGGCCATCTCCCACCGAGGCAGGGTGACCCAAAAAAGAAAGAAAATCCCCAAAAAGAAAATACTTTCATCATCATTCGACACTTTCACCACACTCACACATTATCACTGTTTTTGCAGAGGTGCTCAGAATACAACAGTTTAGAAGCATACACATATAAAGATACACAACATATCCCTCCAAATTGCCAATATCCCAAACCCCTCCTTTAAAGTGCAGGCATTGTACTTCCCACTTCCAGGACTCAAGTCTGGCTATATAAATATAACCGGTTTCCCTGAATCCCTTCACTAAGTATTACCCTGCTCACACTCCAACAGCTCATCAGGTCCCAAATACCATTCGTCTCCATTCACTCCTATCTAACATGCTCACGCACACTTGCTGGAAGTCCAAGCCCCTCGCCCACAACACCTCCTTTACCCCCTCCCTCCACCCTTTTCGAGGACGATCCCTACCCCGCCTTCCTTCCCCTACAGATTTATATGCTCTCCATGTCATTCTACTTTGATCCATTCTCTCTAAATGACCAAACCACCTCAACAACCCCTCTTCAGCCCCCTGACTAATACTTTTATTAACTCCACACCTTTTCCTAATTTCCACACTTCGAATTTTCTGCATAATATTTACACCACACATTGCCCTTAGACAGGACATCTCCACTTCCTCCAACCACCACCTCGCTGCAGCATTTACAACCCAAGCTTCACACCCATATAAGAGTGTTGGTGTACTGTACTTTCACACATTCCCTTCTTTGCCTCCATAGATAACATTTTTTGTCTCCACATATACCTCAATGCACGACTCACCTTTTTTCCTTCATCAATTCTATGATTAACGTCATCCTTCATAAATCCATCCACTGACACATCAACTCCCAAATATCTGAAAACATTCACTTCTTCCTTACACCTCCTCCCCAATTTGATATCCAGTTTTTCTTTATCTAAATCATTTGATACCCTCATCACCTTACTCTTTTCTATGTTCACTTTCAACTATCTACCTTTACACACACTCCCAAACTCGTCCACTAACCTTTGCAATTTTTCTTAAGAATCTCCCATAAGCACAGTATCATCAGCATAAAGTATATATATACATATTCTAGGTAGTAGGTTGGTAGACAGCAACCACCTAGGGAGGTACTACCGTCCTGCCAAGTGAATGTAAAACGAAAGCCTGTAATTTTTTACATGATGGTAGGATTTCAGGTATGTCTTGATATTTCTACTTACACTTAGGTCACATTACACATACATGTACAAGCATATATATACACACCCCTCTGGGTTTTCTTCTATTTGCTTTCTAGTTCTTGTTCTTGTTTATTTCCTCTTATCTCCATGGGGAAGTGGAACAGATTCTTCCTCCGTAAGCCATGCGTGTTGCAAGAGGCGACTAAAATGTCGAGAGCAAGGGGCTAGTAACCCCTTCTCCCATATAAATTACTAAATTCAAAAAGAGAAACTTTAGTTTTTCTTTTTGGGCCACCCTGCCCTGGTGGGATACGGCCGTTTGTTGAAGAAAAAAAAAAAAAGAAAACTTAAATCACACTACACATACATGTACAAGCATATATCATACACACACCCTTCTGGGTTTTCTTCTATTTTCTATCTAGTTCTTGTTCTTGTTTATTTCCTCTTATCTCCATGGGGAAGTGGAACAGAATTCTTCCTCCATAAGCGTATTGTAAGAGGCGACTAAAATGCCAGGAGCAAGGTGCTAGTAACTCCTCCTCCTGTATAAATTACTAAATTTAAATAAGAGAAACTTTCGTTTTTCGTTTTGGGCCACCCTGCCTTGGTGGGATATGGCCTGTTTGTTAAAAAAAAAAAAAATATATGTATATATACAGTGTGTCCCCCAAAAAATGTATACACATTCTTAATTTCATCAAGGCATTCTGCTGTCTCTGTACCCCATTTACATTTTCACATTTCCAATAATACTTCAGTACAATTTTCCACTGTTCAAACACAAGTCTGTCGTTATCCATTTCTGAGAACAATTTCCACCTGAAAAAGAGAAAAGATGTTACAGAGTTATAGACACATTGTATTATGCACAGTAGTAGGTACTGTGCCTTTTTTATTCTTCATTGCTATATAAAATATGTCATTGCAGAAAGGCTAGGTTGCTATTTTTTCTACATGGTTTTAATATGTATGATTCACTTATAAAGCTATTATCTCGTTTAATATAATTGAATGTTGTTGATGTTGATGAAGGCAGCTCAGCGAGTCATATTATCACGTCATCTACGAGAGGATCTACTGGTGGAGGCCATGATGGAATTAGTTAAGACAATTTTTGGAAATGCTGCTTTGAAAATGAACCCTGGCATGTAAGTCTGTAAATACAGTATGCACTTAGATTACTTTTTAGTATAACCCAACTTTGTGTATAAATCAACCCTCATCCTAGTATGTCTGTTTTATATAATGTATGCATATATGGGGATTTCAGCCATTGCATTTTATTCTTTTAATGATTTATTGATTTCATATATTTCCCAAGGCACACCAATCCATCACACATACTAATGAACTAACTTCCATGCAGGCTCTCAAAAGCAATACTTCTTCATTCAAGAAAGCAAAAAACAAGATGGAGTGGGATTAATAATATTATACAAGTGAGTTGAGCTTGATATACAAAATTATGTTAAAGTATCCTCAGCTATTCATGGCATTTTTGTTTTTGAGGTGTCACTTATGTCTACTGTAAACAACAGCAATTTTCATAGTCTTGGTAATTGTGGTGTTAAGGTTTTCCTTCAGTCTGGTTGATGCAATACATCTTCGGCATGGCAGTGTTTTGGTTGTGTCCTCTGTTCTTTGCAGAGCCCATTAGGTTTGTTTCAGAATACCTTCCTCACTTCACCCACACAGCACATCTTGGCTTGTTTATCTCCAGCATCTGTAAACTGATGCTGGTTTATCACTCTCACAATCTCCCTACCCTACATTAAATGATCTTAATAAAAAAAAAATCTGGGCAGGAAATTCACATTTAATTTTTTTCCACATGCTGTAGAGTAGGGTCCTCTTATATAATGGAGCATATACATCCTTGGTAACTACCACTGGGTAAGAAAATGTGTTTCATGAATTAAATAACTTCTGGAGGAAGTAGTGTTAGATTCCTGGACTCTGACATTCACTTCAGTACAGGATGTGTGTTTTCTTGGATGATGCAAAGACTTTTGTAAAAATAATTAATAAAGATTACTGTAAATCAGTACAAGATGACTTTGATAAGCTGAGAAACTGGAATGATATATGGATGATGAAATACAGTATATATGATATGGCAAAATGATCCTTGCTTAGTCAGCCAGACTAAGGGGT